CATTTGGAATGTTCATAATTCTTCAATTATAGAGAATAGAGTTACCTGATCTTGTTCAAGTTTGAAATGCTTTTTAACAAAGAGTTGGTAGAAGAAATTATTTTTGAGATAAGTTAAAATGTGTATTTTATCAGGAAACAATGTTGTTGGTTGCAATTTCTTTGTAATGACAGCTAAAACCCCTTCCTCCAAATTATTAGACAAATCCTTCAGATACATGCTGGTATTTCTTCCCAACCAATAAAAAATGAACAATTCTTGGTCTTATCCCCACATTTTTTGTTATTTCTTGCCTTGAAAGCTAAAGGTTATAACCACTTAACTGTATCTCTTTTGCATGTGAATACTATTCCTGTTTTGTGAACATTTTGCTTTATTACTGTTGCTTTGTTTTTACTTATATATATATATATATATATATATATATATATATATATATATATATATATATACAGATATAGATATGAGTATGATAAAAAATATACATATATGCTCATATACTTGCATGTAATATAAATATATTTCTTTCTCAGGTGTTATAAATACAGTGCTCAATGTTATATAACAGAGTTATTAAGTATATATTAGTGAATATATATAATATCCAATGTCAACATTGGATATTATGTGTATTCACTTATGGTCGGCTCTCTTGTCATCGATGGCAAATGAGGGCTCAGTAAAATAAAGAGAAGCTCAACTTTTATGAACACACTTGTCACCTGAGGCCTGCAGGTGTTTTGCAGAATTTTACACAAATGGAACATGTGGTAGACCCATTTTGCTCAAGTGGTTGAGATTCCATTCCTGTGAGTGGGCACATTTTTTTGCAAGTGGACAGCAAGACCTACATGTGACAAAGTCACAGTGGCAGGTAAGACAATCATAGAGAGGAGCAGCATGCTGAAAACTTTATTTAATATTTGCACACAGTTGATGTCAATGTTCAAGTTGGCCTCAATCAAACCTTGGTATAGATGAGAAGCAGAACAGGTGTCAGCTTCTTTGCTCTGACGCTTTGTTTTCCCAGAAAGACAAGGGGATGCTGCATCACTTTACAGTGACTTTGAATTTATCTTTAACACAAAAGTAGCCTTCCAGCTGACCTGTATCATAACCCTGGCTGCTCTGTACACTTGAGGCAGACACTTCGACCTTGACAATTTTTCATTGTGTTCCCTACACACTCTGCAATTTAATTTCATTTAGTTTCATAATTGACCTAATGACTTTTTAGTTCTTTTTGTATTACAAACCTAGTTATAATACACTTTGTGACCATGTTTATGCTTTCATATTTTATAGTACATCTCAGCTTATTTTTTCTTGAGATAGTATTTTCTTGAGATTTAGTATTTTGAAAGACTTGTGATTGTTGTTACACTCCCTTGATATAACCTGATGACTTCTCACCAAATTTGGGGCTGGAGAGAGGAGGAAAAGTAACATAGGCTTTTGGCCATTGTGGCCAGAGCACTTGAACAGGCTCTGTATTAAGTTACAGTCCTCTTTTATTTTGTTTGCCAACTAGATGCTAGTTGGTCTTTCCCATCTCCCCTTACTTCTGGCATTGTTGGCCTTTACTCTTTCCAGTACACTCTTGCCCTATTTTACTTCAGTCCACCACTGATTCTTATTTTTTAGCATTCCTAACCTTCACTACTTCAGGCCACCACAGACCCTTACTTCTGGCATTCTTGGCCTTGCTACTTCCTGCTATCATGGACTCTTACTTTCAACTATGCCAGCCACTATGCAATGCCAGCACTGGACATCAAATTTGACCAGCTACAACACAAAGCTGACATCGAATTTGACCAACAACAGAATAACACCAGCAGCAGGCATTGGATCAACAACAACCCAACACCAGCACCAACAATTGGACTCAACCTGCCCCTTCAACACCTTCATTGGACTCACATGCTAAAATAACACTGATATCTCATTTTAACAGATATATTTACCAAAATTACACAAAAATATCTTGAAATACTAAAGAGTAAATTTATTCAATCGCCAGACAACTTCAGAATCTCCTACAACTCTTCTGGAAGGTCTCCTTGTTTAAGTTGGTGAATGCTGCCATAATTCTTGTCATCAGTTCATCTTTGGTATTACAAGGAGTTTTGTGGTCTCTTGCTCAACTGCACTCCACACATAATAATCAAGGTGGTTGCAGTCTGAGGAGTTAAGTGGCCAGGTGTAAGAGGTGATGTGGTCACAGAAATTGTCTGACAGCCATGACTAGGTTCTCCTGCTTGTGTGGCATGGTGCAGAGTCCTGTTGCCAGACATATGGTCTTCCAGCAGCCACCCTTTTGACCCTGGGCAGCACCACCCTGACTATAGACCTGATTGACTTGAAGGAATTGCTTTCAATCATGACCTGGATATCACCAACAAATTCGGGAGTTCTTTTCTTATCAGAACGATCAGAGTGAGTTTTTTTTCGAGCTACCATACCTTTGCAATAACCAATAAACTCATCCAACTCTTTCTGAATCCTCTGCACTCAGATTGACACCTAAACACGCTGAAATGTTTGTATTGGAGCTTCCCTGTGCAAATGCCAAGCAGTACAGTATGCCATTTCCAAATTTCTGGCAGAGTGAATTACATTATGATGCTCTTTTTCTCACAGATGGTGTCCAACTGACCCTACTATGCAGTTGACAAAATCAAAAACAAACAATGTGGATGCATGATATAAAAAATATAAAATACCAATAATTTATCCATCACACCCTATATATATATATATATATATATATATATACTAGCTTAAAAGAGGCTTTATTGGGTAGCATATACTACAGAAGAACTCAAAATTGATTACTGCATTTAAGTATTGCATTACTATTTAAGATTACTTTAAATCATTCATTGATAATTATTTTGCCACTGTAGGTCCTTACTTTCCATACAAGCAATTATTTTTATTTCATGGAAATCCAAAATTTCAAGATTGTGGGTTCGGATCCTGCCTGGAATGTTTTTAATTTGCTCATAGAGTTAGCCATTAAGAGTAAAGTAGAAAACACAGACAATTTTATTTTAAAACACTATAATTTGAGAACAGTAATTTTTTCATTTGAATATAAGCTATTGAAAGTTAGATAGTTGTGTCTCTTTAATTGTCTTTATGAGTAGAAGCCAAAATGGTGGAATCTAAAAACAATTGCAGTAATGAAAACTTATGAATCCATAATTTCAGTATTGCAGGTTTGGATCCAGCCTGGAATGTTTTAATTTGCTCATGGAGTCAATCTAATTCCAAAATGGCATGATATGTTGGCTACAGCCTTTAGAAGTGGAAAAAGTGTGACACAGTGACACACTGACATTGGTATTTATTATATAGAAGAAGGTGATGAGCTATTGAGAGTTGTGTCCCTTTAATTGAAAAAGTGTGACACACTGACATTGGCATTTATTATATAGAGATATCAATAATATATGATAAAAATATAGTTTTAAGGTATACCATATTTATAGGTAAGATTGCTCAATGTCAGTGCTAGAGCATATGTAAATATAAAAGTGGACACTGAGTGGTAACAATCCATTTAATGAAACAGATTGCAACCACTCAGTGTTGACCTCAGTTGTTGCTATTTGGTTTCCATTTTTTCTAGACATGTTGTTGGTTTTCATTTTTGAGTTTTCTAGTCTTCTCTTGAGTTAGGATAATTGTATTTTGTTTTTTACATAAATAATTAATTGATTTTAAAGGTTAAATGATAAATATTTATATATATCTTCATTTGGCTATTATTTCATTTTTTATCTGTTTTGATAATATCTTAAGTACTATTAAAGTATTAATTGAAGGAGGTTAGGTTTATAATTAAATTTTTATTTAGTATTGTTTGAATTTGTGTGCATATGTCTATATTTATATGTTTGCACACATGCACACACCTACAAACATACATGCATATACATATATAGATATACATATGTGCACATATATACACATACAAATGCATGTACACAAGAACATGTACACATGTATGTTTGCTTTGTTAAACTATTGCTTAAATGGTAAAGTATTTTTTTTTCTATTTTTATTGTATTAATTATGGTTGTTTGGGTTTATGAACATTTTCTTTGCTGTTTATCATTTATGTTATCATTTATCTAATTTATTTTATTTATTGGCTAGTAGTTTATTTGTATTGAGTTATTAATTATGGAAGGTTAGGTTTGTTCATTTGTAGTTGTTGTGTGTGTGTGTATGCATATATTTATATGTACATGCATATATTTATATGTACATACATACACGTATAGATGTGTATATTTAATATTTGTTTGTCTATTTTTATTTTAAGTTTATATTATATTTATTTCATTTATTTAAAGATTGTATTATATTTATTTATTTATTTATTTTTAATTATTGATTAGATAGCAAAGTAAGTATTTATTTATATGCCTACATTTACCCATTATTTCAGTTTTTTTTGTTTAGGAGTTTATTTTGCTTTCTAAAAATAGTTATTGCTAATATTTCCTCTAAGTATAGTTTACAATTTTTACTATTAATACTGCATGAGGCTTCACTTTTTATAATTTCCCATTTAATTTTGGTGGGGATATTGTTTTCTTTTTGGCTCCATATGTATTTTGATAGGGTTGTATTGTTTGTGTATTTTTTATTTCAAAGAACATTTTGTGGTTATAGTATTTTTCTTTGGAGTTTTTTTCTGTGGCACCTACATAAATTTTATGCCCATCATCATGATACCAGCAACAAACAAGCCATGTGTTAATGAGTGAGGAGTCAGCTAGATGGTAACCATAATGGTCTGAAGGAACTTGAAGACTGACGTTGGGGTGTGGGCTACATTATTGACTATTGTTGACTAAGATTGACTAGTGGAGTTATATTTGTGCATAAATGAATATAACGAACCCATCTGGAATTGGAACTTTGCTCTCCTGTTTTCAATTTAGAGTCATTATCCATTATAACACCTGAAAATCTAAGCTCAGAGCATCTGGTATTCCCAAGCAGTCACCCATCTAGGTACTGAACAGGCTCAACATTGCTTAACTCTTGCTCGTATGAGAACCAGTGTTTCAACATGATATGGCTGTAAACCTGATATTCTTTCTATGATATCCACATGGAATACACAGAAAAACAAGAACTCAGATTTCAAATAATCCCAAAGGTGGAGTATATTTACTGATTGATGAATATAGTGAAAAAGAAACATTGAGATACTATTACTAAATGACTTACAAGTCTGATGAAGTGAAATGTACAAAACACTTATCTCCCAATTCAGTTATCATTTTTATGCTGCCCAACATGCAGAAAACAACTGCTCTTGTATTTACACTGTTTTCATTCAAACTATTGTCTTTATCTTTAATCTTGTTATCACATTTTGGTTGTTGTTCCCTCTGGACTTCATCAGGTGTATGTCAATCCAGGTAATCTACAGGGAATTCCAAACTGAACCATTGATTTAATCTATGGGGGTGGACTGTTCTTGTTCCACTCTCCATGTCTTGAGATATCTTATCTAGTTCTTATTTTTAGTACTGCTCAGTTATTGCTTACCCTGTTTCCATTGAGGCCAAGTACATACTGCTGGGATTGAACTCACAATTACTATTTCACCAAATTCATGACCCAATGCTTTAATCCACTAAGCTTGTGTTTAAATAATCCATAGCTGGATAATCTGATCACTATATAATAAAGAAAATAAACTTCAATAAAATATCTTTATTATTCTTTTAATCACTCATGAGTAACATTAGTTAAATATGAAGATAAGCTGTTTGGGTAAATTACAAAGATTATTTTATCAAAAGAATTTTAGGCTATTCCATAAAAAATCACAGGAACTTACAATAAGTGTTAGCCCAAAATTTGGAAAATTTAAACCTTGATAAATCTGTTCATCTGTTAACTTACTTTCCCCATCTTTCCCTGGATATTTCACACATCTCCTGAAATCATTCAATGAGGAAATAAAGAACCCTATAATTTTTTCTTTGAAGAAAATATTTTGCACCTGTTGTCATTTATTCAATTTATGACATAGGTACCATAGAGGAAAGTTTATCAGAACAATTATCATGTAAGTATTTATAGAAAAGGCACTGGGAAGCTGTTGCAGTGAGAAAGTGACTGAAGCCAAGATGCCAGGTCAATAACATTATAGATTCTTCTTTGTATTTTATCAAGAATTTTCTAAATACATAACAAAAATACCAGATCAGATTTGGCAGGAATATTCAAAGCATGGGCAAATGGTAGACATATAAATATGTAAAATAGATTCTGTCAAGAAAAATTGTCTTGCTCAACACTGTGAACCAACTTTCCTAGCAGCAAACCTAGCAATTGATTCAATATAATTCTTCCAGGTATTTATTTTTTGGTATGTCATTTTTGAGCTTAGCTGTCAATTTGACATTATTGAGCCAATCATATTTCCTATGAAGACAAGAGTAAATAGTATTTATATATGATTTAAAATTTAAATCCTGATTAACTAGTATTTTAAACCAATGAAATTTAAAGAATATGTCAAATTAGGATTTTTCTTTTGTAGTTAATTTTAAAGATTTTATCTATATCAAAATATGATAAGCAAATAGAACTCATATTGGTATTAAATGTTTAAAGTATTTTTAAAAGTTGTCCCCCCTTATATATTTGTCTATTTTTTTTAACATGCAAACTATATATAAGCTTTTCATAATAATGTATAACTGTTTATAATAATATGTGTTTATAATAAACACACATTATTATTTTAATTAAATGCCCATATTTTCCAAAAAATTTAATTCTTTTTGTAATAGTTTTATACGTTTAATTCATTAGATAATATTTATTTTGTACATCTCTTTTCTTATTTTTATATTTATGCTTTATATTTCTTTATATATATATATATATATACATACATATATTATCTATATATCTATATATATATATATATATATATATATATATATAGAAAAAGTTTCAAATTAAAAATTATAATGTTTTATTTTATGAAAGTATTTATTTATTTATATATATATTTGATATTTCAAATTGTCCTCAATTTTTCATCAGAAATAACTGTTTGTTACAAATAAATTAAAATTACTGTTTGTTGGCAAGTAGCGTCCTTCGAGAGACGTGGATGTCACGTGATATGGAACGTCACTGTTCAGATATTCCTAACTTAAATCTAACTGTCATAAATATTTTTTAAAAATATTTTTTTTTTTTTTTTTTTATCTAAAAAAAATTGCTTAACTATTGAAATATTTATAAAGATTTAAAACACCTAAGTCCCTATTCAACCCTAATTTATGTGTATTTAATTTTAAAATCCAATATGTTTCTTTTTTTTCTGCGTGTGAATGTGGAAGTAAAATCGGAATCTATTAATAAACATTTGCAGTTTTCTAATGTGTGTCCTGATTGATTGTAGTGTTTAGCTATGGGGAATAAGGGTTGTTTTGACGTATTGTTTGTTTATGGTTATTAAAACGAAATCTAAAATTGTTTCCAGACTCACCAATATATCCACTATTAGGACATAAGTTGCAGAATAAATAATAGATTACGTTATGGGTATCGCAGGTGAGGTTAGGTGGCTGTATCCTGATATTGGTGTTGGGTACGTAAAATGTATTAGCTATTACTAAATGTTTGCAAACTAAGCAACGAGGTTTGTTACATTTGTAATTTCCTGTTTGGTTTCTATTGTTTAGATATTTGGTAGAGGTGAGGATAGCTGATAAGTTAGGTGATTGTTTCATTGCATTTATGGGTGGTTTATCAAAAATGTCTTTGATCTTGTTGTCTAATTGGAGGTTCTTGTAATCATTTTTAAATTGTGAATAAGTGTGTGGGAATATTGATTGTGGTTAAAAACCATGGGAATCCGATTGTTGTTTTTATTTTTCTTGTATGTGAGAAGTGTGTTACGATTTATCAGGATAGTTTTATTTAGTGCTTCTTTTATTATTTTTTATTGGGTATTTGCATTTTAGGTATTGTTTTGTTAAGTTATTAATATTGTATAGAAAATCTAAATGGTCTGAGCATATGCGTTTGGTTCTAAGAAATGAGCTGTATACAATAGATTTTTTTTTTAATTTAAAGGGATGACAGCTGTTAAAGTGCAGGAATTTATGTTGGTTTGTGGGTTTGTTGTATAGACTGGTAGAAAGTGTATGTTTGTTTAATTTTATCATAACGTCTAAGAAAGGGATGGATGTGTATGAGTGCTCCATGGTAAATTTAATTGTATCGTGGAAATTGTTGCAGAAAGTGAAAAAAAAGGTTTTATTTTTTCTGATCCATGAGTCCATAATAAGAAAATGTCATCAATATATCTAAAGTAATGTGATGGTTTATATTCCGAATTGTCTAGTATCTTCTTTTCTAGAATGTGCATAAAGATATTAGCATAACTAGGTGCCATTTTATATATATATATATATATATATATATATATATATGTCAGTTAGGATATTGAGGTCAACACCAAGAAGCGATAGTCTGTTTCATGTGCAATCATCAGGCCACAGTTGGAGTGACTTAGGGATAGTAGTCGTGGCTTGTGGGGGTACAGTCCTATGGGTAAGGGAAACTCTGATGAGATTGATCCTTTCAATGTGTGAGGTGATTCAAATGCTGTAAGTATTTTTACAGTTTACAACACATTATTGATAACATATTACCATCTTTGATTTTTCTGCTTGAAATACATGAAAAGCAGAGAAAATCTTTATTATTTTGATACACTCTTTTTTAAGTTTGGAAATTGTGCCTGCATTGTGCTGAATCTAAATTTCTTTTTGCCTTGGGTCATAAAATACTAAAGTCTGTCAATATATGATTTCTTATTCAAACTATGAATTACAGAGATGCATATTTGGCTTGATCAACTTGAATCAAATTGTTTCAATAATGCAAAATTACATCAATTATCAAATTCAGAATTATTCATTGCTTACCCATCCTGAAATCTCCTAATCTTGATGAAATAAAGATAAGATAAATATATAAAAAAAAACATAAATTCATGTGCATAATTGACGTTTTTAAATGTTTATGATTTCCTTTGAAATATATGATCAACTTAAAAACTTATGACTAAGAATACAAAAATGAAGCTTGAAGGTAAAAACTAGATTCTGGCAAAAAAGAAATAGAAAAATGAAAGTCTGGGCATATTAATCTAATAAAATTTTTGATTATGATACAAAGCTTTATAAGATAATATTATTTAAAAATAAATTCAATTCTTTCTTAATCTCTTCACAGATTTTATGTTTGTAAAATAATCAATATTTGCATATGACAAGTAAATCTTGTAGCCATCAGCTAATTGCAATTCATTATAATTCATGATGTATTCATAGAAAACTTAGTTTGCATTAGTTTTTGTTTATCATTCATGACTAGCAGTAAACACAGCTGTCATTTTTATAGCTGATAATTAAGCAGATAATTATAGATAAAATAAATTGCTTATGTATTCAATCATGCTCCTTTTTCCTCTAATTATTATTATTATGAAATATCAATGACAAGATTAAAGATCAAAATAAAATATGATTAGACAGGGTGCAGGGAAGGCTGGGTTCAATCTCTGTATAAGGACATTAAACTAAGAGCTATCAACAGCATTTAATGAAGTTACAACCCAATTTGAAGTATCAATTTTTTTTCGACCCATCTGTTAATCTCTACTTGAAATGATTTTTAACATTTTAAATTTAGTATATTGGTTAGCCAATTTAAACATTTTACTATAAAACAAGATGAGCTCTTCACTATGGTACCTAGACTTTTTTTAATTTAAGCACAGTACTAGACTGGCATCGAGATCTTGTGAATTTACAGTTGAGCTGGCTAGGTGTAACTGTAAATTCAATGCTAACAGTTTCTTTTCCCACACTTCTCACTTGTGGAACTCCCTTCCAGCTCCATGCTTTCCAGCTAACTTTAATCTGCAAAAATTTAAATGTAATGTCAATTGCTATCTGCAGTCCTCCTGATTAGTCTTTTCTCTTCCTGCTCATTATTAATGTTTCTGTTCCTAATTCTTCCACACCCAGTAATCCCTT